CTCTCTCTCTCGTCTCGTACTACGTACTACACTACTACTACTACACTACACTACACACACACACACACACACACACACACACACACACACACACACACACACACACACACACACACACACACACACACACAGGAGCTCCAACAAGCCGGTTAGGACAGAGAGTGAATACACATACTATACAGAGATGCTGTATGAGAAACCAATGTGAGTTTGGAAAATTGCACAATGTAAATCTATTCTAGTAGACCTCAACAATGGAATTATGATCAGTAGAACTGGCCATGACATGGGACCTTTAACTAATTTGAATAGATGTATTGTCCTGAAAATGGCACCAGGAACACAAACTGTTATGTTTTATTAACACTTTATCTAAAAGTCATTTTGAAGGTGTATAACCGCGTGTTAGATAAAGCATTAGTTCAGATCATTAAAAACACTATCAAATGTAAATCATAATTCAATTATAATCAGTAGCAGTGATTTATTTTAAATGTAATATCTGTGAGGTTTCTGCAGTTAGTGTAAATGCATGGATTGTTATAATTACAATACTTTCAGAGGTTAACAATGATATGAACCATTGTTGACATATACACTAAGTGTACTTGATGTAGACACAGGTATTTGTGTTCCTGCAGCTCACCTGTCAGTCTGTTCTCCATCAGGTCCTGCTTCGTCTCCACGATGATCTGAGGCAGGCGAGACAGAGGGACACACACATCTGTAGCGTAAGCCTGTAGGACACACACACACACACACACACACACCACACACACACACACACACACACACACACACACACACACACACACACACACACACACACACACACACACACACACACACACACACACACACACACACACACTTTATGACAGCTTCTGGTGCAGACGTATGTTCAAAGGGGATACGACCCCATAACAGATTAAACGCACCATGACCTTGATTAGAATGACATATTTCTTATTGTTTGTAAATTGTTGAAAACATTTGGGATAGTGGAGGTACATAACTCAAAAAAGTAAATAGCATTTGCCTGTTCTTTGGACATTGACATGAGGAAATGTTACATATGAAACCTTTAAGTGGCAGAGGCCTCCTCACCTTGCAGCCGGGCCTCAGGGCCAGAGCAGCGTACCAGGCGTCATGGCGAGCCTTCCACAGCCGCTCCCGTGATCCTGCATCTCGAGCCCACTGGAAATCTGATCCACCGTTACTCTGAGTGATGTCCTCTGTAGAAATACGCACACAAATACACACACAATATTTAACTGCAAAAAAGTCTCATATATACGGGAGTCATTCGGGGGGGTTGAGTATCTTGCCTAAGGACACTTGGACACAGGGTGACCAGGTGTCCAGCTTTGTGCGGGACTGCACAGCATTTTAATAATTTTTCCTGTGTCTCACAAATTGAGACAATGTCCCATATTTGATTGACAGTCGCTCAGAAAGTCGAAACTTTGCTTTTGTCCAATGGCTGTCGAGAAAGTGCTCAAATGTAGTTTTTTGGCAGGAGACTTGAATAAATGCAGATGTACGGCAATATAAAATAAATACTAGAAAGAGAATTATGTTGACCCTAAACAAGAAAACGTAACCTAGCAGTAATAAAGGATGTTTTTTTATTACAGTAAATGATAGAGAACTGTTCAATTTCCATAGTACTGCAGATAACTATATATTGGGATATCCCAACTGTGGAACACAAATATCTACAGTACAACCACATTTTCATGAAATAATTTAAAAAGCAATAAACGAATATTGTGGTAACAGATCGGCACTAAACAGCTAGCGCAGCTAAAATCAATATTTATTTTCTCCACGCTGCATGACTCGAGCATCCTGTCTATGTGATGCATTACAAGATCACACCTAGATATTTCATAATTCTGTGAACGTTACTTATTTCCAAAATTCCTAATTTCATTACTATTCATAATGATTTTAGAGGTCAATTGTATTAAAATGTAGGTTTCTGTCCAACAACAGTACTGTATGACTTGTTGCCTGCCTGTGTGTGTGTGTACCCTCACACACCGGCGGTGAGCACCTGTTCCTCCAGGCTTCGCTCCGAGCCGTGGAACTCCAGGAAGAGGGTGGGGCTCACAGCGTAGGACAGAGAACTGAACCTGTTACAGGCATCCATCATCACATCGTCCAGGAACTCTACACACACACACACACACACACACACACACACACACACACACACACACACACACACACACACACACACACACACACACACACACACACACACACACACAGAG